CGGCGGGTGGTGAGCAATTGCATTGTGCATCACTTGCTTTGTATATTTTGTTATTATTATTATTATATTTCAATTATTAAATTGTTCTTATCTCAGCCCATGAGTTTTCTCACTTTTACTCTTCCAATTCTCTCCCCCATCCCACCGGGGGGGGTGGGGGGAGAGTGAGTGAGCGGCTGTGTGGTGCTCAGTTGCCGGCTGAGGTTAAACCATGACACCCGGGATTTTACTTCCAAACAAAAGACCCTGCATTTCCTTTGCTCTCTAATTTGCTGGAGCTCTGTACTCATTAATTGCTTCTCAGTTTTAACACACACCTCTGGAACCAGCAAGCGCACCAGGCGATGGTGCTGGGAGAACTGAGGCAAGTGCCCATGCCTGGGCGGGTAACCACATCTTTAACCTGCTGCTTTTTGCCCTGCAGGAAGGTGGGGTTGGAGGGTTACTGGGACAGATGCTGGGCCAAACCAAAGGGTTACTGGGACAAACTGGTCCCATTTATGCTGATACAAATCCCTAATAAACTCAGTGATTTCAATACACTCTGAAAGAGCCGAGCTCCTCTTCTTCCCTGTGTTGTCCTGTCACCAAGTGACAGACCAACCTCAGCCGGTGGGCAAAGTCCCTGCCAGGTCCTGTCCCTGTGTTTCACCAGACCCAGCACCTCCGGCTGCACCCAGGGGACTGGTGCTCCCGGCCGCGGGTGCCTTTGTGGAGCATGATGGTGCCATCGCATGGCCAAGGGCTTGGCACCTCCAGGGCAGGGTCCAGCCAGGACCCTTCACCCACGGGGCTGGGGCACGTCCCTGGGCACTGCAGCCGACCTGGCCCTGCTGGGGCTGTGCACCCTCGATGGGGTGGTTAGTGCTTCTGCCCCACCGTGGGCTCTCCAGAGCCCCATAGCTGCTGGGGGTTCCCCCTCTCGGTGTCAGTGCCAGGGGCTGGCTTCTGGTGGGGGCAAGGACACGGGGACCAGATCTGCAGTGGTGAGGAGTTATGAAGCTGACCTGGACCACAGGTCCGCAGCATGGCTGTGGCCAGGAGCAACCAAAAGCCACCCGTGGCAAATGGCTGGGAACCAGCAACGGGTCTGTGCAGAGGCAAACCCAACAAGTGCCGGGACAGCACAGGAGTGCTGGGGCCAGGGCAGCCCCGAGCGGGAGCACTTGGGCGAGGGGGTCTGCGGGGGAGGCAGGTGGGGATGATCGTGCAACCACTTCCCCGTGTGCATGTCGAGCCTGCAGCCACCTGGCTGGGCAAGAGCAGTGGGAGCAAATGGGAGGTAACTGGGGGGCACTGGCATGTGTCCAGGGGAGTCTGTGAGTCCTGGCAAGGTGGGGAGGAGACCCCTGCCCCATGCTGCCTACCCAGACAGGGGATGTCTGGGAGCCCGAAGCACCTCTGCGAGGATCCCAGCACTCCCCAGCATCACACCCAGCCATGGGGCAGAGTCACCATCTCTATCTGGGAGCAAGAGGTGGGTGGGGAGGTGGAGGGGGCCACAGGAGCCAGCCCCGAGCACGGCGGGGCTGGGGGCTGTGGAGTGGGGAGCTGAGCTGGATCCTCCAGCACTGACCCATCGGGCGTGAGCAGGGCTGGCGGTGAGGTGGGACCTGCTCTCCTGGGGAAAGCAGAGAGGGATCTGCTGAAGCCACGCCGTCCCCACCATTGGGGTTTGCAAGACTCCACTGGATGAAAGCCTGAGTAACCTGGGCCTTGCTGTGGCAAGGGTTGGACTACAGACCTCCAAAGGTCCCTTCCAGCCTGAGTTATCCTGGGATGCCCTGATCCCGTTCCCCCCCTCTGGAGCAGTGCTTGCTGCTTGCCACAAGCCCAGCCCCAGCTCCAAGGGTCTGGCCCGTTGCAGATGGCTGCTTGTTCCCAGCCTCCCAAAATGCAGTCTGAGGCCACATCTCTTGCTAATGCCGACTTTCAGATCTTACAATTTACTTTGCAGAAAGAAAAAAAAGAAAAAAGTGGTTTTTCTGGCCTTTATCTGGTGCTCAGCCTCTCCCCAGAATGGTGCTTCAGGCTGGGGGTCACTTTTGGGCTGCTTTTGGGCAGGTGTACCGTGAGTCCCTGTGCCCAAGGCTCCGGCTGGGAGGGTGGGAAGATGCTGGTGGGCTTGTCCCAGCCCCAGGATGGGAGAGCAGGAGCTCTGGCTCACCTACTCCAACGGCAGGGTGCACTCCTCTGCAAAGACAACGAGGGATGAGGCTCATCTCCTGCTCCAGAGAGGAGCCCGAGGAGTAATGCGGCACTGGGGAAAGCTGCTCAGCACCCACCCAGAGGCATGTGCCGACTAAAATCCCCCATGGACCCCAGTTGGTAGCAATGTTTCTGCCTCACACCCCATGCACTGCCTGCAAGGGCTGAGCCTGCCCCAGCTCAGTGCATCCCCGGGAACCACCACCCTGGCTGTTGAGCTGTGCTCCCCGTGGTCCTCAGTGCAGCAGCCACAGGAAGGTGCCAACATCATCCTCTACCTCTCGCCACCTCTATGCTCCATGCGAGAGCCGAGCACAGGGGACCCCTGGGCACAGAGGACCCGGGGACAGGGGCTGCCGGTTGCTCTTACTGGCTTTGGGCAGCACAATCATCTGCTCCTTGGAAAGTCCCATCTGGCTCATGGTGTCTCTGAATTTCTCCAACATATGGGGTTTCACTTCAGTGTCTCTGCCTGCAGGGACAGAGATGTGGCTGCAGCCTGGCTGAATGTCCCCAAACCTCCTCCTCCTCCTCCCATGAGGGTGGCGCTGGGAGCACATGCAGCCCTGCCGGAGCACCCAGCCCCCCAACACCCGCAGAGCAGCGGGACACTGTCCAGCAGCTCCCATCCCACTGGCAGGGGCTTGTTGGAGGGTCTGCCCTCCATGCCCCTCTCCTCCCTGGGCATCAACTGTGCTTTTTTGTGCTTCCTCTGACACTTACTGTAGAGGAACAGCACTGAGATGGTCAGCCCCTGGTATTGCCCGTCGCTGAGGAGAGTGGTGTGGCTGGCATAGTCCGTATCAACCAGGCCACAGCTGGTGAGACCTTTCCCTGCAGAAGGAAGTGGTGGGATGTTTAAGATGTGGTTTGGGGAAGGGATGAGCTCTGGGCATCACCTCCCACCAGGATGCAGGCTGAGCCTCCTCATGCATGGGGCTCTTGGTGCTCGAGGAGCTCCTGGAGCCTCAGGCACCACTGGGATGCCACATGTTTTCTCACGTCATGCCTGCCTGGGCCTCACCCTGCACCCCTCCTCTGCACCCCCTATATCCAAACCCCTCCACCCTACACACTCTGCACCCCTTCTTAACACCCCACACACCCTGCACCCTTCCCCTGCACCCAGCATCTCCTACACCCCTCCTCTACTCCCCACATAGCCAGCACCCCTCCACTGCACCCCTTGCACATCTCTTACCCCTCTTCATCACCCCCTGTACACCCTGCACCTCCTGTGCACCCCTGTGTACCTCTGACCAAGTCCCTGAAGTCCCTCTCTGCCTACCCGCTGGCCTCCAGATCCTGGCTCCCCACCCGTCCCCACCACCTCCACCTTGGCACGGCGTGGGACCTCCTCGCATGCCAGTCTTGTCCCCAGGACCGCCTGTGCCTCTCCCCTGGCTGTGGGACATGGTCACTTCCAGCCCCCCAGCCAGGATGTCTCCCTCTCAGGGTGATCCCATGGACCTGGGACCACCCGGGGCTGCAGCCCCCTAAAAGCCATTGGTTCTTACTGTGCTTGTGAGAAGCATCACTTCTTTCCTCCAGACCATCACTGGGGCTCCTAAGCCCTGAAGAGCCTAAAGAAAGTTGTTTGTTTAGTCTTGGGAACAAAGTATGATTTTAACAGCCCAAATCTGCAAGCTTTAGGATCTTACCCCACCATGGGGGACCTGCTGGGACTAAATTGCACCAAGAGAGAGGCTGGGGTCCCCCAGCACTGTGTCTCATATGCTGGAGGTTGGGACTCTCTGAGGATGCTCCTGGACAATCTCTCCTTCAATTAACCCAGCATGGACCCTCACTGATGACCGGGCACGCAGGTAGACCAGCACGTGCTCACAGCCACCGTGCTGCCTCTCCTGGGACACCCTGTGACGTGGCCCTATTGTGCCCCACAGGAAAGGGACATTTCTGCCCCAGATGGCATGACCCGCAAATCCTGACTCCAGCACGCTCCACAGAGAGAGCCGGAGAGCTGGGAGGGCGCGTGGTGCTGGGGTGGGCTCTGGGACAGGCATCCCTGCGCCTGGGTGGAGACGTTAATGGGGCAGCACGGCTATCTGAAGGGCCTGGTATGGGGAGCCCAGGGAGCATGGCATGGAAATCCCTATCTCCCCATGATAGACTTTGTGGCAGTACATGAAACTGCCACCTACACGGTGGGGAATAGTCCACATCGATGTTCGTGCTATGGAGGGGTCCTGTTCTGGGGGTGGCTTAAGCCAGGTCCCATCTCCTCCCTCGCGCTCCACTGGTACTTACAGGAGTTTGCGTATTTACTGGGTTGATCAGGGTTTTTTTAGGACCATCGTCCTCTGCTCGCATCCTGCAGGGCTGGAGAGCAAATGAAGACCATTGGACTCCAGTTGATGGCATACAAAGCCCTCAGCTTTCCCACTGGGCCTCCTCAAAAAGCAGCTTGAGAGGTCATTTGGTTGCTCCAGCCCAAGCAGCTTCTGGGAGAGGCGTGAAGCTGCACCTGGGGCTTGAGTTCAGGCGGTTCCAATTAGAGACAAGGCATAATTAACAACATCGGGATGGGTGGGAGGAAGCTGTCAAGGGAATGCTAAGATTTCCATCTCTCATCTAGCCAAGACCAGACACCTTTCTAGGAGGAACAGGGTCATCACCCAATTAATTGGGCTGAATGCAGAGGTAGTGTGGGGGATCCTGTAGCCAGTGCTAGACAAAAGAAGAAACTAATTTTCTCATCAGGTCTTTAAAGCATGTGAAGCCACATCAGTCATCGCCACTGAGAAGTTTGGTTGATTTTGGCCTTTCTTCTCAGACATGCTCCCAGAATGGCATTGAAGACAGTCCTGCACTGGTAAAGGTAGATTAGATACAAAGGTGTTTCTGTCTATTTTCTGTGATTTAGTGATGCTTCTCCAGTCCCTGATGCTGCTCACTTGAAGGTGCTTTACAAACACCCAGGGATGAATTAATTCTCTGACTCCACCTGAAACCTGAAGGAGCAAAACCTCCCTCGTGGGCTGGAGGGGTTCCTGGCACAGTCCCTTGCTCCATTTTTGCCAAACTAGGCTGTACCTCAAGTCCAAATTGGCAGCAGGAGCAGCTGTTGGACATCTCTTGCCTGGGTGCAGAGCTCTGGCACAGCAGCCCCTCTGGTCTCGCCTCCTGAAGTCTCCAGCCACGTGGCAGGTTCTCCCATGTCCACCATATTTTTCTACAGCTGGTTGTTCACCTTTCCAGGTTGGAGGCGAGAGACCAGCTCCTGACGGCTCTGCTCTGTGCGCACAATCAGCACGCGTGTTACCAGGACGGGAAGCAACAACTCCCCGGGACCTGTGTAGTTCTTTCTATGTTTTATGAAGAACTCGAGAGCTAGCTGAGGTGAAGAGCAGGAAGGAGAGGAGCCCTGGGTGAAAGCCATAGCGAGTGATAAGATTTGCACTGACACTTATCCAGGAATTAAAGTTTTGATGATTATTTCACCATCACGGTGAAATATGGTGCTCACAGACATCTTCCCATTTTTCTTGAGGCCTTCAATCCAGCTGGAGTGGGAAGCTATGGCAATGGTACGCCACTTCCCAGCGAGCTAGAGGAATGGCTCTGCACTGATTAATACAGAGAGCAATGAGAGATTCAGGGATAGAGCAGGACCCCCCCCACTCCCTCCTCTGCCTACGCTGCTGACAGGGTGGACAAGCATCTCTTCTGCCAGGCACAACAGCGGTCTGCCATAAAGAGCTAACCCAATGCAAGATCCACTTGGCCAAACCCAGGTAGCCTGTGACCCTCACTAGCCCCCTGACTGCCCCACTAAGGCGTTCAAGCACCCAAACTTTGTGCTGTTGAATGCCAGGAAGCCTGAGGGACTTTGACTTCCAGCAGGAACTGGGGTCCTTGCAAAAACAGGCAGGTGGGTTTTGTCTGACCTCTGCTCCCTCGGGGAGACCGTGTCCAAGCAAGGCATCTTCCCCGTCTTCCACCATGGGAAAACCCTCCAGCAGCATTACCTTCTCTCCATCAAAATATTCTTTCAGAGAGATTTTTGCCTGGGCCTGAAGCATCAACAGAAGTATCAACTGCAGGAGCAAGAAAATGACCTTCATCTTCAGCACACCTGCGAGAAAGACAAGCTCCACAGGCAGCTCAGAGCTCTCATCCCTGCACATGGATCCTCAGGGGCAGCAGAGCAAACCCTCCCTCGTCCCCCATCTGTGCGATGGCCAGTGCCGAGATAACAGTGCCGAGACAACATCGTTAGCTGGGTTTCTCCCCGCCTGCAGCTGAACGGCCTGTTCCTCCCGAGGTCTGAGACAGAGCGATCCCCTCAGGTCCTCCACAAGAGGGCAGGGAGAAGGGGGCGAGAAGTTCTCTGCCAGCTTCAGCCCCACCGGCGGTTTCCATGGGGTCAAAGCAAGGGGCTCCAGAGTGATGGAGAACCCCAAACGAGCTCCTCGGCACCCTGGGGTGCATCCCGCCTGGTCCCAAGGGCTGGATATGTCCCATCTGCATAAGTGATCCTCATTTGATCCCTAAATCTTCCTTTGCTGTGGGTAAAGCTTCACTCCCCCAGAGTCTTTTTTGCTCAGATGTGGTGGTGTAGAGCAGTGCTCTCCAAACTTTTTTGATTGCACACCCTTATCAGTGAAAAACTTTTGAGCATGCACCCCCAATATATGTATTCATGTATTATATACATGTACATTATAAAACATACACAGTAATAGACATTTTAAAAGGACAAGATAAAGATTAAATAAACACTAGTTTTAAAATATTATTTTATTTTACTTTCTTTATTAATGGTACCAAAAATACTTTCTTCCTGCACCCCAAGGGATTGTCATACATACCCCCTGGGGTGCATGCACCCCGCTTTGGAGACCACTGCTCTAGAGAAAACAGGGATCTCCCCTGACAGATGAGTCTGATAAAAGGGATATATGTTTCTTTTATCCCTACTGACACTGCTGGTCTTTATGGCAAGCTCCGTTGGTCCATATTGTGGTGTGGTCTCGCCCATCGGTGTCACGAGTTGATGAAGGCTGAGCATGGACCACGCTCAGGACGTGTGGTGCCTGACCCTTGCCTGCCACAGGGGTTCTCCATCCTCTTTCTCTGCCTGTCACCTCCAGAGGTGCATACCCGGCCAAATACTAAAGTAGCTACAACTGGCAGGAGCAGTCATGAAATCACAGGTTTCCCTGTCAGTAGGGAGAGCAGAGGGGTGGCAGATAGCTCTGGCTCACCCTGCCCTGGGGACCGTGGGTGGGAAGGGATGTGAAATTCCTGTTTTATTTCCAAAGGAGCTGCCGATTTTGTAGATGTCCTAAAAACTGGGTTCCCCAGCTGGCCCTGTCTTGTCCGTGTGCTCTGGGAGGACGTGTTGCATCCTCACCTGAGCGGGATAAGGCACTGGGAAATCCTTGGCTCATTCAGGGACGGGGGTGTTTCCAATCACAGGAAACCCGTTCCCATAATTTCTGCTAAGTAGGAGTCTTACAGAGTCTTACTTATAAAGAAATCCCAACCCAGCATTCAGCCGAGGTCCGAGGAGGACATGTTTTGCTGTGCCTGTAGGCATATCTTCTTGCACACACTGAGCAGTGGTCACAGCATCCTTTCACACCGCTTTATTTACGACCACCAGGTAACACCTTCCTGGCTCCGTGTGCTGCTGAGAGCCCCTGATCCCTTCCCGTCATGAACCAGATTAATCTGGTCTCCCACCCACGCTCCTGGCTTATTGCCACCATTTTGCGTGTGGAAGCAGCTCTCCGTTCCCAGGATTAACTTTGACTCCTGAAATTACAAAGATCAATCCCCTGACAATGGTTTTCCTACTTATACATATTTTATTGCATTAAGGGAAAGACATCCGGCTCTGCAGTGTCTGCAAGTCCAGCCCAGGCAAGATTATCCACCACTTAACAGGAGATGCAAACAGCCAAGCATTACTGCTGTGCTTTGCACAGTGTTTCACCTCAGAAAGGGCTCTGTTTAGGAATAAAAGCTCTTTCCAGAAAGCCTGCCAAAGCCCTGGTATAGATAAATGATTAAAAAAAATAAGGCTTACCAAGGGCACCGTCACATCAAAGGCAGTGTGTGGACAGCCAGTACAGCTTCTTCACCTGGGCAATATCTATTTCTTAGGAAAAAAGTTCCCAGAATTACTTATTGGAAGAACTCCTGTGGCCAAGCAATTAGCAGTTTTACAAAAGCCCCTCATTGCGTGCCATCCTTCTGCCACTGGTCCGAGAGGGTGAAGACCTCTGCAGTGCTCCACAACAGAAGGAAGGTACCCAGCTCCTGGGATGGGATGCTACACAGCTCACCTGCCCAGGGTCGTACTTGCGTGCGTTGGGCTTTCTGAAGCTGGCACTGTGAGTTCAAGCCAGCTGTGCTAGGGGCTTTCAGACACAAAGGGAGACGATGCTGTGAATTAGGTACCCAGCTCACAGGTCCCCACCGGCCAATAACGGGTCTGAGCATTGGATGCATTGGTGAGGGAGAGCAAGGAGCTGCCGGCTGTGCCCCCACCAGCACCGTGCGGCACTGCTCGACCGGGAGCCCCAGACCCCTTCCTGTGTGTCATGACACATCCCTGCCATGGGGAGGGTGGGGGTCGCTCAGCGGCGATGCCTGCACCCTTGGTGAACATCTGTAACAGCCCCCAGCGCAGGGCCTTCCTGATGGCCCCTTTGACCTCACTGTTTCTCAAGCTGTAGATGATGGGGTTGAGCATGGGGGTCACAATGGCGTACAGCAGGGCAAGGACCTCATCCACCTCCCTGGAGCCGCTGGAGTGAGGCACCAGGTACGCAACGGCCCCAGCGCTGAAGAACAGGGCCACCACGGTCAGGTGGGAGGTGCAGGTGGCAAAGGCCGTCTGCGTCCCTGCTCCCTTCTGGAGGACAGCCCTGATCATGTGAACGTACGACATGAGAATAAGGAGGAAAGAGCCCATCACAATAGTCCCAGCCAAAGCATGCAAGGCAGCCTTGTTGAGGGGAGCATTAGGGCTGCAGGACAGCGAGAAGGGCATCTCGCAGAACAAGTGGTCGATCATGCTGGACCTGCAGAAGGGCAAGCAGGTTGTGAGGAAGGCCTGGATCAGAGCTGAGAAGGAGCCGCTCAGCCACAGAAAGGCCACTAAGCAGTGGCACATCTTCTTGCTCATGTGTGCCAGGTAGTGGAGGGGGTGGCAGATGGCCAGGTACCGATCATAGGCCATGGCAGCCAGGAGCATGCACTTGGAGCCCCCAAAGCAAAGGAAGAAGTAGATCTGCATGATGCAGCCCACAAAATAGATGGTCTTCTGCGGTGAGAAGGAGTCTCCACGGATCTTAGGGAGGGTGACAGAGGAGCAGCAGATGTCCAGGAAGGGTAGGTGGCCCAGGAAGAAATACATGGGGGAGTGCAGGTGGGCATCCAGCCAGATGAGGGTCACGATGAGCAGGTTCCCCATTTACCGTCACCAGGTAAATGAATGAGAAGCACAGGCAGAGGGTCACCTGTGCTCTGTAGGCACTGGAAAATCCCAAGAGAAGGAATATGGTGGGGCTGCTGAGATTTCCCTGCTGCAGGGATTTGGGGCTCATCTACAGGGAGAGCAGGAGGAGATAAGGACAGGTAGAAGGACGGTGAGCACCGTGGGGCATCACCAGCCCTCTGCTCTGCTGCGCGGTGGGCTGAAGCCATGCCATTGCCCTGGCACTCCTCACACCTCGCTCCAGGGGCTCAGTGGGGGGATACGTCTGTGGGGGTGGGTGGCGGGTCTCAGTCCATGGGGTTTCGATCCTCAAGGCAACCCCCAACTCTGTGTCACCTGAAGGACACCATAGAAAGCTGGGACCTCACCACTGCGGTCAATAATGATCCCAGGGACTGTTAAACGAGAGAACATGAGAGCAGCTCCTCTCCCCCCTCCAGGTTTCCTGGGCTGCAACTGGAGATTGGTCTAAAGATCCTACAAAAAGTGACAGGTTGGACCCTGCCTGAACAGTTGCTGCCCTTCATGGCAGCAAATTGTGTTTACACCATTACTGAAGATACAGAAAGATCTCCTGCTTCCCCTCTCTATCACAGATTGTGGGAGCAGATCTCAAAAAAAATATAAATCTTTAAACATTACAGACAAAGAAGGTGTCTGCTTGCAAATACTGCACTGTAGGTGTTAGCCTCATGTTCATACCTAGAAAGAAATGCAAGAGAGGGACCTCTCAGAGTCTGAGACATCATAGGAGGACCAGAAAGGCATCTGAAGGTGACTGTGTAGTTCAAACAGGCTTGAGGGTGGCAAGGAAAAGCAGAGACACTAGCCTGCAGGAAAAGGGAAAGACTGAATCTAACGAGAAACTGGAGCTCAGGGATAAATGAAGATGAGATACAGAAGGTTTTGAGCGTGCACCTAAAACTACTGAATCCACAGAAAGAGCAGTAAGGAGAGGATCAGAAATTCGTGCAAGCCTGCAAGAAGCTGTTGGTACTGACAGACCTGTCACCAGGTCCTTCCAGAGAGAAGTGTGGGAGCATCTGCCAGGAGTGAAGAGGAGGTGAGTGCCAGGCTGAAAAGACTTGAGAACCCTCAAATGACATTGCAGGCTCCCTCCAAGAGGGAACAAGGACAACCCTACCACGCTGGGGATGTGCTCCACGATGCGGAGATTCAGGGACGGGCTGTGGATTTGTCCTGGTGCCCAGCAGCCAAGGTGGGTGTGTGAGCGGGGAGGGAGGGAGGAGCAGCCAGCCCAAGGCTGGGTGCCACAGCAAGGGCTGGGGTGCTTAAGCAGCTGGGAGCCTCCACAGACACCCTCCTCCTAATGCAAGGAGGCATGCCTGCAGGAGGGGAGAAGCCTTCAGGGATCTGATGCCAGGCTTTCAACCATGAAGGGAATGGAGGTCGAAGGAGAGGCATGTACCCTCTGTGCTGGTTTGGGATGTGCTGGAAGAGTAGGAGCTGGTAAACAGGGGCATAACCACAGAGGGAAGGGAAGCACCGGTAGGGATAAGAGCAACTGGGACAGCGGTATGGGCAGCAAAAGGCTGGTGTCTCCTCTGGCTCAGGAAGAACAGGTGGTCCATAGGAAATAACACAAATGATTGT